GAAACTGGAACATATGTGAACATTGAAAGCAGTATAACATTCTGAAAAACTTTTATTATTGTATATGTTCAAACACAACACCATGCTACACATATATATTGACAAAAATATGAAAACTTTAAGAGTATCGATTTAAAGTTCCATCCAGGATGCAGAAACAGATTAATACAAGACTAAAACCATTTCGCCTAGAGGTAAAACACTTGTGAATTTAGTTATTGAGATATTTGAACAATAAAAATCCAGATTCATAACGAATTAAGGAATCAAATATTGTTGACACAAATAAACATTTGGTTTGTGAAAAATACCCACTTCAAAATATTCAGAAACAGAATCGAAGTGTGAAAATGAATCAGATACAAGTGAAAGACACTGTTGGGATTCTGATGAGGAAATGGATACATTCTATTACGTAGACGATACTGTAAATGATCCAAAGGGGGAGCCAGAATCGAGAAAAAAGAAGAGGACAACTCTTTCATCATCTGATGACGATGATAAGGAGGGCACAGATTTTGAAATAAATCTTATAAGAGTGAAGAGTCAAATAATTATGTAAAGGAGAAAAACACTACCAACAAAGATACAAAAATGCCTAAGGACAAATATTTACTGAACCCCCAAATATTGAGAGCCAACGATATTACAACATGAAACACAATTAGCATCTAATGATACTGCAACTGACAATGCACAGCTAGGAGATGTTTTATACTTCAATATAACAGAACAAGAACATTTACAGAACATAGAATGTCAGAATGTTCAACAAGAGAATAATATGTCTTAAACAGCTGATAATGGAACACATTAAATATTTTAACAAAATGAAGTAAAAAAAGAAAAAAATAACGAATGCCAAGAAAGAAGCCAAAACGGATTTGGAAATAAAAATAACTTTGACTGTAATGTACAAAAAGGGGTCGGATGACCGGTAGTGCTCATGTAGGTATCAAGAAAGTTAATTGAAAAAAGAAATATTTTGTTGAAAAATATGCTAAAATAATGGAAGAAAAAACTTGAGGAAATCGGTGTAGAAAAAATACAAAGTCTTTTGAAGTTAGTGATGAAACCAGCAAAAGCACTTTCGATGCATATTGGAAAAGTATGGATTGGGACATAAAAAAGGTTTATGTTGTTAGCCATATTGCTTAGATAAAGACCAGAACAGAAAATAATCAACCAAAATCAGGACAAGACACTCAATAGGATGAACTCCGTAATGATAATTATCAGAAGGCACAAGATAAATCACAGGATGTAAGCCATCGAAGTTATTCATATAAATATTACTTACACGATGGCGACCTAAATTTTCAAGTGTGCACAGATTTATTTTTGTCAATATTTGGTATTTGGGAGAAGCAACTGAGAGGTTGGATTCATAAGCCGGCGGACATGGATTTTCATCGAAGAAACTTTGTGACAGTTCAAGTCCGCAAATGTTCACTTCTTATGGATTTCTAGGTGTCAATGTATGTCTTGACAAACTTCCAAAAAAGGCCTCCAATTATTGTCAATCAACTTCAAACAAGAGTTATTTAGAATTAATATACAAAAATATGAGCGGTTGTACAATGTGTAAAAGTGAGAATAAAGTGATTTTGTTTGCAAAATAGTTTTGCTAGGATTTTCAAATCTCTTAACCTAGCCTTGTTTCAACCAAAAAGGACCAATGCGACATATGCGTTGGGTTTGAAACGAAAAATATTATAGAAGCGGAATATTTACTTCATATAAAAAGACAAAATAGGGATAGGTGTTAAAAATCAAGAGATAAAGAAAGAGCTAAAGAAGATCCTTTAATAAAAGTAATTACAATGGATACACATGCTGTCCTTTTTCCTTCCTTGCAAGAAAGTGCACTTCATTTCACAACTAAATTAAATTGCCCCAATTTTACAATGTAATCTAGCTAATGTGAATGTTACGTGTTACTTTTGACATAAAGGGGAGAGAGGTATACAGCAAATTCGTTTGCCAGTTGATTAAATGACTACTGAGTCAAAGAAATAGTTCTATTTAGTGACGGGTGTTTCAAAATCGCAATGTGACTCTGGCAAATGCTTTATTAAGAATGCCATTAAATATAATGTTAGAATATGTTAGAATACAACAGAAGTTTCAAGAGAAAGGTCATTCTCAGTGGAAGATCGTACAGTGCATAACGAAATCAAACGAAAATTAATAAAGAACCCTGCATATTCTCCAGCTAAATATATAAATGGCTTTAAAACTGTTCACCCAAGTTAACCATACGAAATTAATTACATTCAACATGACTTCTTTAGGGACTTAACGACATTAAGAGCTTATGACAGCATAAGGCCAGGACATAAAATAGGTGACCCTGTTGTGACTGATAAAAGATGTTTGACCTACTCTTCTACTGGATACATTGAGTATGTATTGTTCTATGAAGAGCTATTTAAACCTTTGACACAAAAAAGGGAGCGATTGACATAAAAACAAATATTCCTTCATTGTACAAAGAAGAAGTGGGTACAAAACCTACTAAATTTACACACCTACACCAATTAAAGTGTGTAATTCCTGTTGACTATCATAGTTTTATGACAATTCTTCTTTTGCTGAAATGTAAAGCGATTGACTAAATTGTTATACAATTTTTTAAAAATAAGATTCAGTACTTAAAATGTGACACGTTTTGTGAATTCACATTACTTGTATAATGAGTATTGTATTTGTTCACAGACAAAACGTCCATTACGTCAAAGACTTGGGTTTAATTGAAGAATGTTGTCTTACGTTTTTGAATCGTGTATTCAAAACAATTGATTATAATTGTTAAGAATATTAAGTTTTCAAAGCTTAGAAACTGAAAATTTTCAGTTTAATTGCTTTAGAATTTCAAAGTTTAAAGAAGAGTTGCTGTTTCATTTGTTTAATAACTAAAAAGTTTATTTTCATTGTTTAGATAATAACTAGGTTGGTGTTAGGATTAAGGATGTTTACTTGAATTGTTCTCAACAGTTTTAAAGACTTATATGATTTTTTTGTTAACCAAGATTTACTTATAGTCTATAAAGTTTAATAAAGTTATTAAATGTTTTGTTTCATTTGTTGACACTTTTTTGCCGAAAATTCATTATCATAATGTTACAGTTTTTTACTTTCATACAGGTTTTAATTTCTTTATCAAATACTTAGAAAATATGTGTCCTTTTATTGTCATTATGAATGCAACAATATTAAATGAATGTATGCCTTATTCGAGTTTAGGGTCATATGAGATCACATTATGACCATGTTTGTCATTGCAAAATGACGTATACGCATTTATGACGAAATATCCTGGGTTATTACAGACCTATTTAATGTATTAGAACTGTATTTTAATGTTCATAAATATCTGTAAAGTTCGTTTCTGTAGGTTAATTCATGCCAATATAAGATATTTTTTCCGTATCCTGAAAAGTACCACTTTTGCAGATGAGGCCTTTTCTAAGCACACCGACATTATATACAGTAAATATACAATGTACATGTGATAAATTTAACGTAAAACGTTTTTTTTATTTTTTTGCAAATGTACCGATTTTTTCCAATTATAATAATTTTAATATTACAAATTATTGTTGCAAGAAAAAATTCCACGGTGTCGCGAATTAAAGATTAAGGACTAATTATTACCCAATATTCTCTAATATTGACAAATTGTTGGTGACCCGACACCTTCGCCATATATCAAGCCGATTAAAACCGGCTCGTCCCTTTCGGGTGTTTTTCAAAATGGCAGATGAATCCTGTTGGAGTATAATCTACAAATGAAAACGTGTTGCACTCTTATACTGAATTTATTTAGGTGAAAAAGGCGGGTGCAAAATGGGTTGCACGCATGTATATAGTTATAGGTATACAAAAAGGGTACACTTTCTAAACTGAATCCATGTAGAGTATATTGTTGTGTACAAAAACGAGTTGCATTCTTATATTGTATATTTTAAGGGTATAAAGGTATGTGCAAAAACAGATTACACTCCTAAATTGAGTCTTATTAACTTTAAGGTATGTATGTATGCAAACAAATGGGTTGCATTCTTAAATTATTATTAGAAGATATTTATGTGTACAAAAGCGGTTTGCGCTCTTATACTGTATCAGTCAAGTGTATATAGATGTGTTCAAATAACGGGTTGCGCTCTTAAATTGCATCTCTTTAGGATATATATAGATGTGTACCAAAACGGGTTACAATCTTATAAATTAGTTTTGATATAAATTCAAAATGTCACCATAACTATGATTAAATCTTGATTTCTGCTTAAGCTGTAGCCAGGGCGGGAAGGGGGGGGGGCAGGACGGTAATACGCACTTTCCATTACCGTCCTAGAAAGGTTTAATGAAACGGAGCCTGCAACATTTTCAATTGTGTCTTGTAAGGGCTTTCTTTAGGGATTCTTTATCACTAATTTTTTGCACACTTAGATTGTATCAATCAATTGCCTCAGGGTGGCTACATAAATATATTATACTCCATAAATAAAAATCTGTACGGTATATAGCTGAGTACAAAATTGGTTTTGGTATACAGGTATGTTCAAAACCGGGTTTCTTCTATTTTATAAATAATGACTCTATCTAGTAAGCTAAATAGCTGCTAAAAAAACAACAAAAAATATTTGCTTAGTAAAGCTACATGCTAGAAAATAGTATTAAAGGTTAAAGATTAAGGCGATAAATAGTATCATTTTATATAAGCATTATCGACACTCCTTTTTGTTAAACTGATGTTAACAAAGGAATAGCTGTACTGTAAAAAATACAAGAATAAAGATCAACAAGGTAATTGCTACGTTCACAGGACGAAGCCCCCAGACACACATAAGTAGGGCACAGAACAAAAACCTGGAGTTGACATAAGGGCGGAAAAATGAGAGGGACATATGGGAATTAAAGGGATAAGGGCTGTAAGGATGAAAGGGAGGAGTAATGTAAAAGTACATGTCAGTATTAATAACGATTTGTATCTGTACTCACGGTAGGGAATCACGTGACTTTTACGGTTACGCGTACAGACAATATGGCGGCCTAAAAACCTCGCTTCACATGTGTTTTTAAGGTAATTCTTTATTATATCCCTTTTACTTACATACGAGACCTGTTGCAGCCTACGCAGAATAAAGAATTGTTGCCGCCTATACCTTAGTTTCCACTCCTGTGCTCATAGATTTTACAAACACTTAAAAATTCAACAGAAATTTTCAATGTGAACAATTATATTTCGGGTAACATTCACGCAAAATTTGTATTTTTTATGAATTTGATTAAACTACGTCGAGTTAGCAATGAGAAAATGTTCATAGAATTTCTTTATTTGAAAATGTAAATATCAGGCATGTTAAATGTTGACTGGTCATTTTCTATTCCAAAACATGAGAGAAAAATGATTTGGGTAACTCCCACGCATACTTTTATTGTTGATAACTCCCACGCAATATTTTATGGGCAGGCAATATCTATGCAGGTTATAGCCTAGATATTGATTGAACAAAATCATGATTGATGCATTTAGCCTTAAACGTTCAAAGAATTTTGAATAATATTAAAAATACCGCCAAAAGGTCCTGGATAGAATAAAGCCCATATGGATAGCAGAATACATACTCACGTGAATATATTAAAAGAAGTTTCGATATAGATGAATTAATCGCAGAAATTAAAATAAAAGTCTCAAATATAAGAAGGAGGTCGATTTCAGTATAAGCACAATTACAGTTGTCATTTTTCATAGTTTGCAGATATGGGCGGTTCCAGTTCGGGTATTGTTTGTGGATAATGTTGGGCAACATTTGTCTTAATGACCACATAAACTGGCTACTCGGCACAGGACTTTGTAAATGTTGTGACAAATCGAAACGTGACAGGTATGGCATTTTATGTTATTCGTTATATTAAGATTTTAAAGACATTCAAGTCATTTTATCACTTAGTCTTTTATGAAACCAACATTTTTCAAATTAGTGTCTGTATTTAACATTATTATGTTGTGTGTGTTTTTTTTTAATCTAAATCATAAAAGAAAACAACCTAAAGTATATTAGAATGGGTCTTTTATTTTACAAACTAGGTAATAAAATCTAGAGGACTTATGTTTGAATGTCATCTTAATATCAGCAGTAAAACCCGTAACGTTTCCGATTTGCTGGGCTATAAAATGTTTTACGACAACATTTATAAGGTCCTGTGCCGTGTAGACTGTTCATGTGGTCAATATTTGAGACCTATCTGCAAATGAAATGTTTCCCACATTTATCACAAACAATATCCGAGATGGAACCTTCCATATCTGCAAAATATGAAAAATGACAACTGTAATTTTACTAATAAAAACAGAAATACAAAACCTCCTTCTAATATTTTAGACTTTTGTATCAAAACGCGACCTAATTGAATGTTTTGGGTTTGGTAGGCCTTACGCGAAGTTATTGATGTCCATGGCAATTTATGATTTTACAAGCCATGCCTTTTTGAAATTTATTTATCATATTATTGTAACCTATAAGCAGATGAAGTGTTGTTCGCCCCATATAATTTACGCCCCAAGACGATTCGTCAATTTAGCTGTATTAATTTTATATCTTAGTGATAGTAAAATTAAATGTGAATTAGTTTGAAAAATACATTAAATCCATTGCATTTTCAAAATAAATATTGATTAAACTGTTTGTGGTTAAATAATAAAGTTGAGTGTTAAATTTTAAGTTTAATTGCCGTGAATATATAGGGAATAATAAGTTTATTTTATATTCTAGATCCTGGTCCTGGCTGAAATTTAAAGTATTACAGCTGTAGCTTCTATACCATAAATTTAACATGGAAAGGACTGTTCTTGGGAAAATGCTGACGTAACTGATGGGAGCAGTTTTTCTTACCAATCATAGGTCAGACTTAACCCTTTCCCCCATAAGCATATTGTGAAAAATGGCCATTTTCACTGAAAAGCCTCCTCTTACAGTTCAAACTGCTATGAAACTATGAAAAATGCTTCAATACTAATCAAACTTGGCACAAATGTTGACTGGACCATTGCTTTTGTAACGACATGCTCAGTCTTAAATTTCCTGTTACCATGGCAACGAGGGGTAAAGGGCTAACAAGAAATGATGAAAAACTTTTTAACACCCAAAATCTAGTTTTTACATCTTAACATGTGGTCTTTTACCTAATTTTGGTGAAAAATTGTTGTTTTGTAACATTTATAATTTTTTAAGTTAACCCTTTCACCCATGAGCATATTGTGAAAAATGGCCATTTTCACTGAAAAGCCTCCTCTTTCAAGTTAAATTTCCTGTTACCATGGCAACGAGGGGACATCTCAAAATTGCCAAAAATCACTATTTTGCCTCGATTTTTTCCATCAAAATTTACTTCAAAGTGCTGCAACTTCTCAAGGGATTGAAGTCCAAAATTTTCTTTGCGATGAGGGGGACTCCGCCCCCCTTCAAACCCCCCAAAAAGAAGGGGGCACATCCCCCTTCTGGCAACCCCCTGAAGTATCTTTTGGGCAGGGGGCGGCGCCGAAAAAGTGCTCACTTTTTTTAACAACATTTCTGAAACGAAAACATGTGTTTGGGGAAAAATAGGGCATTTTCTCACTATTTCAGGCCTATAAAGGGGGGGGGTCGAAAGTGCGTTGTTTCGCGTATATATGAGGTTAAGGGTTAAATAGCTTCTTTTTAAAAAGTTTTTGTTGTTTTTGTACATAATTTACTGTCAGTATGAAACTTCAGCTGTATCTTAATTTCTATATGCTGTTTTATTATGTAAATCTATATACATGTATAATTTGAGATTGACCAAGTCAATTTTAACATGTAACTTCTTATTTTATTTGCAGAAGCAGTAGAAGTATTCAAACACCATCATGACACACTTTAGACATACCAAGAGAGCTCTAGAAGAAGAACTAGTGGTAGATTGGAACAGATTGTAGCTTAATTGTTAAACTAAAAGGACTTCTTAAATCGTTTGAATTTTAGCTACACTTGAACTGTAGTTTTGAAATAAAATAGCTGAAGTATTTAATAGTGTCTTGATTTTTTTGTTAAACTCTGTTCCGTACAGTACTTTGCTTTATATTTATATTAAAGTATGTTGAAATGACATTGAAACTTCAACGTTGTGCCAACGTTGAACTTCAACGTTTTTTAAACTTTCAAATTCGAACATAAATCTAACGTTATTTCAACGTTGAAATCTGATCATACTTCAACGTTGTTCACCGTTGATGTGCCTGCTGGGTTACTTCTATCAAGGACCTATTTGCGGTATTTTTAATATTATTCAAAATTCTATGAAAGTTTGATGCTAAATGCATCAATCATGATTTTTTTTCAATCACTATCTAGGCTATAACCTGCATAGATATTGCCTGCACATAAAATATTGCGTGGGAGTTATCAACAATAAAAGTATGCGTGGGAGTTACCAAAATCATTTTTCTCTCGTGTAATGGAATAGAAAATGACCTGTCAACATTTAACATGCTTAATATTTACATTTTCAAATAAAGAAATTCTATGAACATTTTCTCTTTGCTAACTCGACGTAGTTTAATCAAATTCATAAAAAATACAAATTTTGCGTGAATGTTACCCGAAATATAATTGTTTACATTGAAAATTTCTGTTGAATTTTTAAGTGTTTGTAAAAGCTATGAGCACAGGGGTGGAAAATAAGGTATAGGCGGCAACAATTCTTTATTCTGCGTAGGCTGCAACAGGTCTCGTATGTAAGTAAAAGGGATATAATAAAGAATTACCTGAAAAACACATGTGAAGCGAGGTTTTTAGGCCGCCATATTGTCTGTACGCGTAACCGTAAAAGTCACGTGATTCTCTACCGTGTGTACTGGCACTAGTCAGGAAATTGTATTATGTTTATATTGTTGCAATGGGCCAATGGCCAATATCATTGCAATTATATTTGTTTGCAAGCAGTTACTAGTTTTGACTTTGTTTTGTTACGTCATGTTATGTAACAGAAACTTGACCAATGAGTGGTAAAATGTTATGTTTGAATTAAAAGATTATCATTATTACATTTCAAATATAACGAAAGAGATCTTCATCAACTCTTGATATGTTTGAACTATTACAATGCCGCCTTTGTCACCAGTATAGCGCCTGATCAGCAACGCTCTGTAAAGTTGGAAGCTTATTTCTCTGTGTAGTTTGATATTGAAAACCTTAATAATTTTAACAAACTGTTCAAAATGCAAATCAGAACGAATCTATTACACATATTTAGTAGGCTTTAGGTAAAAAAATACATAAATGTCTGATTCATCTAATTCTTCTTTAGCAGTGATAACGCATCATGTCTCTTAACTTTTGCCGTCGTCTATTTTTCTACAATGTACTTTTACAAAGTTATTTAGCGAGGTATAGTTAAGAATTTTATAGATACGGTAGATAATGAGTAAATAAGAAAATAAAATGTTACCAACAACCACACGTTAGAAAAGACTATACACACTTAAAGCCTCGAAAAATAGAAGAAACAAAAACGTGTTTGTTAAATACAAATGCCCCCGGCTCAGATTTTTGTCAGTATCAATATTTCAAAACAATGTTTACCCATTCACTCAGTTATGGACAGAAAAGTTGCCAAACATGTAAACACAAGTTATATAGCTTGACAAAGTCATGACATTTTGTAATTCTGAAAAATATAAGTCATTACTCTGACTTGTGAAGTTGAAAAATATTCAACTTTATGCAAGTTATCTTCCTACCAAATATGAAATACACCTGCCGTTGAATAAAGGCTTTTTGGGCAAAAGTGTAAAATCGATATTGAGCACTGGTGACCTGACCAAACTGACCCCTTACTCTATGCAAAGGAAGAATACCATGTAAGTTACATGTATCTTCCTACCAAATATGAAATACATCTGTCAATAAATAAAGGCTGAATGTGCAAAAGTGTAAAAATCGATTTTTAGCACTGGTGACATTGACCCAACTGACCCCTTACTCCATCCAAAGGAAGAATACCATGCAAGTTATCTTCCTACCAATCATGAAAAACATCTGTCAATAAATAAAAGCTGTATGGGCAAAAGTGTAAAAATCTATTTTTAGCACAAGTGACCTTGACCCACTGATCCCTACCCCAATCAAAAGGATGAATACCTTGCAAGTTATCTTTCTACCAAATATATTATATCAGTCACTTAATAAAGGCTGTATCAGCAAATGTGTAAAAAACTATTTTTAGCATTGGTGACCTTGACCCAACTGACCACTAACTCCATCAAATTTTATGTTTCTATTAATTATAAATAACATCTGTCTATAGAATAAGGTTAATACATCTGTAAAAATCTATTTTTAACATTGATGACCTTGTCATTGGTAGCATTGACCTTGACCCAAATGATCCCTTACTACACCCAAAGAAGGAGGACCTCCCTCGGCACTAAGACATCAACTAAAAAATAAAAATGTATGAGCAAAAAGGTTTATATTTATTTTTTAAACCAGTGAAACATTAGAGGACAATCAAAGGTATCCACCTACTAAATATGAAAGATATCATTAAACAAATAAGCAATTAGCAGAAATTTAAGATAAATACAACTTGCCGAAATAGGTTAACCAGAGAAGGCCCTATTTTCAAAGTGAAAAAAGGGAAATAACTGGGAAATATGGATGACACAGTTATATAACTTGACAATAACATGAACTTTGTATTGATAAGTAAGTGTGGAAATTATAAAGCCATTAGTATAGATAATACTTAAGATATTTCCAACTTGCCGTTTTAGGTTAACCATTATTCATTTTCTAAGTGCTTAAAAGAGCAATAACTTAGTTATGAAAGAGTTATGTAACTTGCCCAGATCATGTACTTTGTATTGATAACTAAGAAGCCATTTGTACAGGTAGAACTAAAGAAAAATCCAACTTGCCGTTCAAGGTTTACCTCGTACGGAGAGACGGACAGACAGACGGACATTCTTACCAGAGCTACATTATGGGGTTTTCTTTTGTTATTTCTTTTGTTCTTTTTAACCCCTCAATGCAGAAAACAACCCTACAAGAGAAACGGAATAACTGACATTAAAGACATTATTGTTTGAGAACAATAGACTAAACCCCATAATGTAGCTCTTGTTTGTACGGACAGACGGACGGTTCAATTACTATATGCCCGGGGGCATGAAAATAATAATAATAACAACAACAACAACAACAACAAAAATGTAAACAACGCTCAAAACAGCAAAACTCAAAATGTTGAAGGCGCGGTTTGACTTAGGCTGGGCTGTTCATTGACAGTATTGGAAAGTTCTAATTACTGGGAAAAGTGTTCACAGTCTTTAAGAAATATCCATCAATGACAATAAATTTCCGTTATCTCTGAATCCAATAACTGACATTAGATAATGTTATTGTATTACGTATCATTTAATAAAATAATCACTTGTTTTATAATAAGATGTAATGACCTAACGATAATAAAACAAACTGCATGCTTACATTCAACCACTTTCAAGAGAGACTCTACATTTTCCTTTTTCAAGTTAATTTGATGAGCATTGTTTAATCTTCCTCAATAAATGTTTTCAAATGACTATAAAAAACATGCATTTATATTTAAACACATTTAATATAAAGAAGTGACCCTTCGCTTAATTCAAAACTAGTTAATTGTTTGTTTATTTGTTTCTTAGAACATATTGGCAGTTTAACATATAAGCAATTAATTCTGTAGTCTATATTATTTCACCTCACTTAATGAAGTTATTTAAGATGTTGTGATATTGATACAAGAAGATTTTGTGAAAATAATAATATGATTAAGTGATAATGATTCATGTTTAGATTATTTTGATGTTAGAAATAATGATTAACACAAGATGATGTTATTGATGTTATTATTGATGATGGTAATGATGATGATGATGATGATGTTGATGATGATGATGATGATGACGGTGATGATGATGATTAAGTGCTATTCATGAAATATAAATGTGATGATGATATTTTAATGTTGATGTAATATTGATGTGATAATAATGACCTGTTGATGATCATATAGAATACATGTATATATTTAAAGACTGAAAATGATGATATAATCAGTTGATGATAAGATTATGATAATGTAATGATGTTATGATAATAATGTAATGATGATGTTACCATGTTAATATGATTGTGATGTAATGATAATATGATGATGATGAAGATGATGATGTGATCATGATGATGTAATGATGACTTGATGATGATGATGATGATGTGATCATGATTATGTAATGATGATGTGATCGTGATGTAATGATGATGATGTGTGATCTTGATGATTAAACGATGATGATGTGATCATGATGAGATGTGTTCATAAAAATGTAATGATAACGATATAATCACGATATGATTTAATTATTATTATGATATACATGTTCTTATGTGACGATGTGATCACGACATGTGATGTTGTTTGATGATTAGATTTTTTTCTATGATGATGATGATGATGATGATGATGATGATGATGTTTTTCTCTTTTTTTAACGATGATGACATGATGATGTTCATTTGTAAATATGTACAGTATATATGTTTATAATTTAATAAGTGTCATATAAATTGAACACTAAATCCCAGTTAAAGTTCATAAAATATCCAAATTCTCATTTTTTTGTTTTATAACTATGTAAAAACTGTAAAAAAAATATTGTTTCTCACCAATCTAACTTTTAAATATATTTTTTGAAATGATATCCCGAAATATTTTCAATATCCGCTGATTGTTGTTACCGCTTTAATAATCTCTTCTATTTTTTTTTTAATTTCCAGAACATAAATTATATTGCTGTCTTCACTTTTTGATAACCAAATTCTTTTTTTTTTAAAAATCAAAGTAATCAACTGAATTTCGCAACTGTCTTTTATACTATAATGTAAAACTTAATCGTGTAATTTATAAAATTCATGTATGTGTAAACGTAGTTCAAAAACAAGGTGTTTGTTAAAAATGTGGCTAGTTATTTAACATTTATGTTATAGGTCATTAAACATAGCTAACGTTTGGTTCGTTCAAATAAGTATTTATATTTTTAATTGACGTCGGCTTATTCTCTGCTCGCAAATTTTTCTTTTATGTAAATAAGCATCAAATGATTATTTTATTTTCGTGTATTTTTGTTGTGATGGTTTGTCTGTTTTAAAATGTCATTTTCAGTTTCTTTTATTCATCCATGGCTGCTCATAACATTTCCTTTGCATTTTGTTTTCTAACTTCCCAATGGGTAAGCATTTGTGCTTGGAGAGCAGCTATAGGATTGTATTATAATGGAACACATTGTTTTCATTATTCATATTTTTTCAAACAATACCCACAAAAACACCTCTTCTATATTTTTGGTTTGTTTATAGCAATATATTTTAGAAGTATTTTTTGTACTCTTGGTTTTTGTTTGCTTAAATTTATATTTTCTATCAACATTTTTCGTTTTCTTTGAAATGGAATATTAACCTAAAAAAATCCCGAAACACTGCAGAATGTTTACGATTATTTTACTTTATAAGTTCTCAGGCTATTTTTTTTCTATAAAAGAACTATTATTATTGTTATCAGGTGACATAGAAACCAACCCGGGTCCTAACAATCAAAATGATGCATGTCTCTCAATCATTCATCAACATATTTAAAGTATAAGAAACAAAATTGATTTCATAAAAGATCATTTAAATGACTTCGAAATTTTATGTTTAACAGAAACTCACTTAAATAATACAATTAAAGACGATCAAATACTTTTGGATGGATATAGATGTTTATATAGGAAGGATAACACTGCCCATTCAGGGGGGGGGGGATAATTATTTACACGTCGGATAAATTGGTAACAAAGAGTTTTTGAAATAGACATGTTTTCTGAAGAATCAATATGGATTAATGTTAAAGATAAGGAGAATAACATTTTGATAGGCACTGTTTATCGTCACCCAAATTCTACTGTTTAGTTTTGGTCAAAACTAGATAACTGTTTAGAAAAAGCGCATGAGTTGTCGCAGTACATTGTTTTACTTGGTGATGTAAATAAAGATCAACTCAATCATTTAAACCATAAACTCATGATATCTTAATTATTTATAATATGAGTAATGTTATCAATCAGCCGACTCGTGTATCAAATACATCTGCCACACTTATTAACCCAATAGTAATTTCTAGCGAAATAAAATCATTTGACTTTGGTGTTTCAGTAACTCTGAACGACATTAGTGATCATTGTGCTAGTTATATTTTTATTCATTTTGAAGCGCTATCTTTTAACACTTATAAGCGTTGTGTTTGGAATTATAAAAATGCGGACTTTGTGCGGTTAAATGAATTGATAACTTCATATAATTGGTCAATATTATCTAAGGGCACTGTAAATGAGGCTTCCGATTTTTTTTAACCTTTTCATTTTTAGATTTGACAAAACGCATTCCATATAAAGAAGTTACAATGCAACCATACGACAGACCATGATACGATTCAATAATACGAAGAACTTCTCGTAAGCGTGACAGACAAAAATCACGTTCAATTAAAACTAATAAATCGTCAGACTGGATTTTATATAAACGTTTAAGAAACAAGGTTGATAATTTAAAAAAGCACGCGAAACACGTTTTTTTTAAATAATTTAGAATTTATAATCAACGATATAAGTAGTAATTATCCTCGCGAAGACTGGAAAATTTTGAAAATGTTAGTTAAAGATAATAAACAATGTGAAATAATACCGCTATTGAGACTTAATAATGACTTGTATGTATTTACTGATAAAGAAAAGGCAAATGCGCTCAATGATTACTTTGTCTCTGTATCATCTATTGATGATTCTAATACTACTTTACCCATTTTCAATCTTAAAACAAACGAACATTTGTGTGACATAATCATTAACGAAGAAGAAGTTAAAGACATTATTTCATGCCTAATAATAAAAACGGCTAGTGGACCAGATGGGATAAGTCACCATATGCTTAAAGAAACATCATCTAGCATTTGTAAACCTCTATGTACACTTTTTAATCGTTCCCTTCAAGAAAATACATATCCCACATGTTGGAAAAACGCAAGAGTTATGCCATTATTTAAAAAAGGGAGCACTATCTTTGTTCTAATTACAGACAGATTTCTTTAATAAGTAACCTAGGAAAAGTTATGGAAAGAATTATATTCAAATATATTTACAACCATTTACATATGAACAATCTTATTTACAAGTATCAATCTAGGTTTATTCCAGGGCATTCTACTGTATATCAATTAATTGACATTAATCATCAAATATGTAAAGCTTTTGATGAAAAGAAATCAACTTGTATAATGTTCTGTGATATCTCCAAAGCTTTTGTGTTTGGCATAAAGGTCTTCTGTTTAAACTGCATCAGTACGGCATTACAAATAATTTGAATACTTGGATTGCTAGCTATCTTAAGTCGAGGAACCAAAGCGGTTTTGTTGGTTCTTCTTTTCCTGACACAGAATTCATAAATGCTGGTGACCCTCAAGGATCTGTGCTTGGTCCTCCTCTTTGTTTGATTTATGTTAATGACATTGCTGAAAACTTACTTAGTTTGACTCGTATTTTGCAGATGATAGTTCGTTATCAGTAACAAGCGATGGTTCTAAATACATAGAAATGACTCTAAATATTGATCTTAAAACTATTAATGAATGGGCAGAACAATGGCTTGCAACCTTTAATCCTAATAAGACAGAAGTATTATTTTGTTCTCTTATTAGAAATGAAAGACCTTTTTTGTACTTTAACAATGTTAAACTTAATTACACTCAACACCACATGCATTTGGGGTTAACCTTATTATAAGTGATGATGGAACTTGGCATGAACATATTAATAATTTAACTAACTCGACGTCTAAAATATTAGGTTCTATGCGTTCATTAAAGTTCAAATTTAATAGAACAACATTAAATTAAATTTATATTTCCTATATGAGGCCTTTATTAGAATATGCTAGTGTTATTTGAGATAGTTGTACCTTATATGAAAAAGAAAAAAAAAAAGAAAAAAAATGCAATACGAACAAAAATATTTTCTAGATAATTTATACCCTCAGCAATTTCGACAAGGAATAGTCTTTATAATGAGATACGTGACTCACCTTCTTTAAATGTGTTCAAAACTTAACATAGGGATAAATTCAAACCCACACTTGTCCCTAAATATTATTTAATTGGAGAAAGATTATCATCTGTTTACCATGCACGTTTAAGAAATAGATGTAGTAATTTGAATGATGATCTGTATAGAAATCACTAAGCAAACTCCCCTGTTTGTGAGTTTTGCCATATCGAGGAGGATGCTGAACATTTCTTTTTTAATTGTAAACTTTTTGGACTTCAAAGACCCCAAACTTTTCACTTCCACTCGCCCCTTTCATTCATTAAGTACAAGTACTCTCCTTTATGGAAAAGAAAATTTATCAGTCGAGGAAAACTCTTTTTAATTTCATGAGGTTCAAAAATATGTAAAAAATACACATAGATTTAAATAATTAGAAATAAGTACATGTAAAAATAACAATCGTTGTTCCAATTTTAATTCTTCTAATTCCCCTTATAAATGACATATTTTGACAGCCATACAAACCATCACATACTGCAAGTACAGGAAAATTACTATTTTTTATATTTAAAAAATGATAAGCAATTGTTGTTTTTTTTTCTTTTAAATTTGATGTCAAGTTCTATTTGCTACTTTGATTTTGTGTCCGTCTTAATATTTGTAAGTGCTCATGTGTATAGTGTTAAAACATGTTTTCGTTTCTATATCCTATAATGCTTAAGGGAAGGACAGTTACTAATGTTGCTAGAACTTGTTGTTCAACCCTTTTGCCCTTTGTTAAAAAATGTTGTTTTGTGGAAATAGTGTTCTATAATTGTATTCAAAGAGCAATAAAATATTATTAAACTAAAAAAAGCATTGTTTAATGGTTCATAAAACCTGTCTTAATTTTCGTCTTCTCTCTTGTTGCAAAATACCCTTTTAGTTAGATTTTCTTGTCGCTTTTCCTTCCTTTGTTATTTTATGTTTTCATTTTCGACAATTTCTTTCAATTTTTAATTGATTTTGCATAAATAGTAAGTAACTTAAGTGGCCCAAAGACACTTACTTATAAATACATTCGGAAGTTACAGATAACGTTCAATATATGAAAAAGTTGGGTTAGTCTAATTATATTTTAGCAAATATATATTTTATAATGTTAGCATTTTCCGATATTGGCTGCTAGTCAATCACTATTAAAGCAGTTTTTTTCTTTTTAAATATATAGTCAATTCAGCTCAATTTGACGATTAAAAGCGAGCAAAATGTCACTTTAAGCAAGCATGGGCAAGAACAGCAGTGGTTGATGCAAGGAACGATCTGGAACTGCGACTCTCAGCAGTATTTAAAGTAGTGTTAAACATTGAAATACATTTAAACGAATTTTGTAATTTACAAAATACGCAAATACATAATACGTACACCTGCAGACTAGAAGATCAGCATTTAAGGACACCTCACAGGTTTCTTATTTTATCGACAGGTTCATAAGGGTACCTCAGCTCCATCGTAGAGACGAGATATTAACCTGCACCTTCATTGCATGCAACTTACATATCATTTAACAAACAAGCAAATGATTCTTTTTTCATTTATTTCAAAGAATGTTTACAATGCAGCCTTTGAAACTTTTAACGTCACACTTTCTTGAAATGTCTGATTCATATTCATTTTTTGGAAAAATCCGATTTTGATTAAAAATTCTCCATTGAATTGCATAGCGTATTTATGTCATTGTTACTGCTACATGTAATCCAAAAATAGTGCCAATTTTCACTCGTGTTATCGATTCCTGATGCAGCAAGGCCATTTGTAAACTGTCCTGCTGTTAATGACAAGATACTGTCTACGCCAACTATTTTGCATATTGTCGAATCAAATTCACGTACTTTCTCAATGAAGTCAATGTTCTGTTCTTGATAGTGTTGTGTCATCATCTTTACAAACTCACCATTCGAGATTTTGGACTTGCCACTTAAGAAAACTGTTTTCCATAACTCCAGAAGTCTCTCTTTCATGATCTTCATGATTAACTTATCGGCATCATTGTAAATTTTCTTTCTAGTAAATGTAAATGGTAATACTGGGGTAAACTTAAAATAGCATTTTAAACATACACATTTATATTATTATGCTTCAGTTAATTAATATTTGTTTTCACATAAAAGAATTTGACGAACAATTTACTGATAAATTATAATGTCTGAAGGAAAAACTACGGACAAAAATGAGATATGGTGAATATTTTTTTTTACATAAATTATGTATGATGTTGACCTGTAACAGTGGATAATACATGTGTGGCCTTTAACACTTTCGTTTAAGATGCTAAATATCTATAATTTTGACGTTTACAGCTTTTATAAACATATTAAATGTACTAAAGAGGCACAGAAATGTGCTTTTGGTAATGCTGATCTCTTAATTCTTGAAAGATCCAGTACCTAAATTTCTTTATGGTTCTCTATCATACATATAATACTATAATGAAGATATATCAAATATGTAAGTTCCAAAAAGCATTACTCGAAAAGATATTACTGAATTTACATTTTCATATTAATAAAGAGAGGAAATTAAAAAGTTATTTTCTATAAAGTTGAGGTCATTTTTTTTTCAATTAGAAATGATTACATATAATCTGAACACATATTTGCAGTATGAAGTTTACATATTCATCGATGTTTTAAAATTGTTTTAGAAGCATAATTATATGCATATATAAATTTTCAATGAACTTTGTGAATAACCTAAAGTACAGCATACAGAATCTTTAAATTTCGGGTACTATGATACAGCATTTTTTTCATTCATTGCGTCTAGCAATTTCAAAACATTTAAGATAAATGACCGTGTATTCAGACTTCTATTATTTGATACATGTTTTACTTACTCAAGTTCTAGAAAGTCATCTTTTGTTACCATGTCATCAAAGTTGATATCAGTTTGGTGAAACCACTCATTCGACTTCGAAATAAGGTAACTGCGGTAATTGCTCACCTTAATACAGTGAATGAATGAGTAAAGTTGTAGGTAGTATGTATATGTGAAATGTGATATCAAACAATTCAAACGAATATTATAATCAAATGTAAGTCTGTTATTGACCCAAACAAATGAAACCTAAAGCGGCAAACTGTCATAATAAGTGTTGCAGCTGTCAATCACGAGAGATTTTCATACAACAGAACACACGACCAATAAACAATATAGTATTTATTCAGTGTCAAGTATTACATTAAACATAAAAAAAATATATTTACCAATCCTTGTGATGGATCGGAACGCACAAAACACGCATCGGGTAAGGCTAAGAAAAGGAGAAAAATACAACAACTATGACATAAAATGTAACAAGAACGTGCTTCTGAGACTATACAAAAATCTGGAATTAGTGTGATCCCTCGGAAGCATTTATGACAACATCTTAACAATTGCAGACTCGGCTTGAATGGGTCTGTACATAAGGGATAATGAAAAAGTGTAACATCTCTCACTCCCCCCTAGCACCAGCTTGGAATCAATGATCATGAAGGACAAAAAATATATATCAATAATGAAATGAAGTACGGGGGAACTTTTTACCCTTACTAAACAGCACTTGACATCGCTGTTGTGAAGAATAATTTTTTTGAAAAAATTTGATCCCTCGGAAGCATTAATCACAACAAAATTGCACGAACCAAAAACCTTTCAAACCAATGTTCAGATCAATTGAATTATCCGCCCTCCTTGGAAGGACTTACACTATATAATAGTCGTTCCTTTTATTTATTAAAAAAATGTAATTATAAAATTCCCGGAAATCGCATAACAAAAGCAAATCGCGAGCATTTTGTAATTATGGTTAATATTAAATATATGTTAAAATTAAAATCCAATTCGAAAAATTGTAAACGATGACGTTGTAAGCAAACAATATGCTAAATTTCACTAAAATGTAAATGTACAATGAAGTAGATTGTATTAAGCATTTGCAAGCTGCCCTTTATCAAAAGTTAAAAAGAAAGACATTTAAGAATTTAACTATTTTAAATATATATGTTACATTATAAAGGAATCAAAATACGTTTCTGTTTACAGTTTGCTACTTTAATAACAAATAATTTTACATTCAGAGCTAAAACTATCTAACATGCCATAATAATACGAATATTTAAACAATTTAAAACTTAAAGAATTAAAAGAAAATATTTTTGTTCATATATAAAACTAACTTAATGACTTTTGATATTTGCCGCATAAGAAACGATGTGCAACAAATGAATGACTAGGAGCAGGTAAGACAAACTACTCCCATCATTGTTAAAAACAGCATTTCGATATATGTTGTTTCTAATGGGTTCATATTAATATAATTATGACAAAGTAAATACAGTCATTTTTACAGTGTTTTTTTACACTTATATTGAGTACTTTCTTTATTTTTTATGTCAAGTTCTCCGTTTGAAGTGCGGAAGGTTATTTATATAAGGTGTCCAGAATTTTGAACCTAAATGATAATACAGTTTTTTAATCTTAAATTTTCAAAAAGATATAGTAGTACATCATTTCAACAGAAGTGAACAATATTCACTTGTGAAAAAAAAAACAAATAAAAAACAAAAAAATAATCATACACAAACTTACCACCGCCTTTGACAAGTACAGCCAATAAAAAATTAGCTGTAACATAAAGAAGAAGCTGCATGTCAACTTAGTTTCTCGAAACACGATTTTCTTTTCTTATTCTTTTGAAATATATTCCCGTCTATCGTTCAACTGAAGGGTTGAGACGAGCGTTGCACCGGACACGATTTGATCCAACATAGCAATTAGTCTCTTACTTTTATATGACATCCAAAATGTAGACGTTGCTAATACACGTATGTTTAAAAAATATACCAACACGTTTTAGATTTCTCTACTTTTTAACGGTTCGCTGATGGATGCAAAATTAAAATTTCATGAAAGATTCCATTTATCTTAAATGTTTAATTCCGATTTTATTTATTTTAAATGAGAATTGTGATCAAAATCTATTCTTTACCTTTTTTACGTTGTTCCCAGAATGTTAACAGATGTTTTATTCTCTGTTTAATGTATACCTGCGGTGCACAATTGATGCAAGAAAGATGTAATAATTATTCAGGTTGCTGTACAGCGGTGCATATTGACTATTTTACACAGGTTTGAAGCTTTGATGAGTAGAATTTGCCACGAAGGCTGTAAGGCAGAGTACTTAACTGTTTCCAAAAAAAAAAAAAAAAAAACATTGTTATTTCAAACACTAACAAGCATTAATAGGGGAGGTTAATAAGGCTCATTTTCAAGCTGATACTGTTTACGACACTGCTTGTGTATTTATTTCCAATGCATGATTGGACACCTTTTAAGCAAGGCTATTTTTATATCTAATTCTTATTTTGACTCAAAATTCTCACTTGCAAAGCGTTTGTTTACCGTATTTGTTAAATATACATGTAAATCAAATATTAATTCAATCTTCCGTCTTGTCATCGAATCCTGATGAAGCAAGGTTCGCTATGAACTTTGCTTCTTATTCTGACATGATATTGTCTTGGTTTACTATTTTGCACAATGCTAATTCATATCCAAGTAATTCAATATTAAGTGATTATGTTGTTGGATCATCATGCGGGTAAACTCATTTTGCGAGATATTTGACTTTGTCCTTAAAAAGCCGTTTTCCGAATCCTTGAAAATGTTAATGTCGTTGTCACCATTTGTTCCTTTTTAGCAGCTTTGTTAAAGTTTTCTCTGGGAAATGTAAATGGTTATATTGTTTTTTTAATATGTTCAAGCATATTATCTTATTTTCACCACAAACCAGAATCTGAAGATATTTTTTTTTCTGATATATTGTAAATGAAAGAACAAATATGGGTCATAAAGTCAATAACTAATGACGAATGATTATTATGTTAATAATGTCAGAAAATGACTTGTAATACAACCATAAGTTAGCAAGGGACAATTTTAATTAAGGTGACTTGAAGACCTATAACTGTAAAATTTTCAGCTCTTTTGAATATGTTATCTGTCTTCAAAAGGCACAGCAATGTGGTTTTGGTAATTATACCAATATTTTGTCTTTTACATTTCTTATCCTATGATACAGACTCTTTTGCATCTAATACATATATTGCTTCAGTTTACGCCAGAAAGTGTTGTACAGGATATTGTTGATAATCACTATATGTCATTATTATGTTTCTTTCCATAGACCATTTATGTAGTCCGACTCTGTATGTAAGCACTTTGATAAATATATTTTTCTTGGTTTACGCCAGAAATTGATTTTCTTTATTTATCTAAATTATCATGGCGTGTAAAAATATGTTCTTTACAGACATTAATATTTCGAAGATTTTTAAAGGTTCATATTATTATTTTACATTGTCTTTATAATTATGATTAAGAAGAGGTAAAAACATGAACTTTTATTAGGGCCGACTTTTGGGTTTTTGGGTACTTTTTTCTGACAGGATTTCCGGTTTCATTTTTTTTATTTAATTTTATTTTTTGGTTTCAAGTGCATCACTTCATTTAATATATGTTTCAGAGATTTTTAACCATATCAATTGAAATAAAATATTTCATTACAATCTTTGAAAATCATCACAACGCGATGGCCGGAGATTTCTAACACTGAGCAGGACAAAACAGAAACCAGTCACCTTTACCGTTAAAGAAAGGAAATGGCGACAGTTTGGTCATATTATGTGTAGAGTTTACTCTAATTTTACCCGCCGGGATCCGATTGGAATCCTTAAAACAAACGAAAAAGCGTGAGACGTGCTCTGAATTACAATAGAACCATAAACATCATGTTGTGGTTCATAAATGAACATGGCGTGAAGCCAGTAGTCGGGCTGAAGACAGAGACGATTGTAGATCAGCGGGGGAGGCCCTATGCAAGAGGATAATGGAAATAAATAAAGCATTATTTTTCCCATACCGGTTTAATCGAAGGGGTTTTAGGTTTCCTTCCGCCCATCTGTCTCTTCGCCCGGGCAAACTTCCGATTGTTTTGAGCTTCAATCCGTCCCTAATTTTAGTGAAAAAAAAACAGAAAGAAATCCAATAAACCGACATGTTAATGCGGTTAATATACTGGCTTATGTATAAAGATAAAAGAAAAAGCACATAAACTCAACACGTTGGCATGTATGTGGTAAAATTGTTCGTGCTTCATCTCCAAAACCGCTAGGGGATTCCAGTGAAACTTCACATGATTGTTTGTCACCATGCCTACTTGTGCATGTTATCTTGATTGTTTGCATGCATTTTTTTTGCACAGTTATGGCCCCAAAATGGTAAACTTTCGGAAAAAATAAGCTCGTACACCCTTCATCACCAAAACCGCTGGGGAAATTTCAGTGAAACTTCTAACATTAAGCCTAGTTGTATATACATTCTTGATATTCTTCTTGATTGAAGCACTTTGAAATTCGTGATTTTAGGTAGCTACAAAAAAACAACCTTTAAGTTATAATTAATAAATCATAAATACTCGTATACAGCAGTAAGTGTAAGATCGTTATATTTATGTATATAATTAACAGCTTTGAACATCTGCTCTCTTTTTTCTTTATTTGGTATATATATATTAGCATTACTGTTGTCTCATTTGTTCAATATTCATAGTCATTATGACAAACTTCATCATAAATATTTGATTAAAGGAAAAGAAACAAGCGAAACCCCAGACAAGAAAGTTCTGAGTTGGGAACCAGATTAGTTAAACATTCTGTATTAAGTGTTATCATTCCGTCTGCTTGTTTATCTTATCAAATGCATTTATTCAGTAAATAGATAATATCTTCTTTTTAAGTTATTATGCATTCATTCACTTAAACTGGGATGAGAAATAACATCAACAAAAATCTCAATTTGTATGGCAAATGTCTTTTGCTTTAAACAAAATCAAATAATGGAATAAATCAACGAAAGTTTATCGGAAAATTACTTCTTTCCGAACAAGCAGTGAAATTTACGTTGTTCTAAATTGTAGATAATTAAGCTTATTATTAACCACACTCTGGTGATCATGTCAATTTGTAACAGATACAAAAACAACTATTTCACGTATTTGAAATTGATAAACTGAAAGGAGACTGTTACACGAAGAGGATTCTACACTTTTGATGTCTTAATTACTCAAAAGTAGTTTTAGATAAAAACAAAACTTATATGTCATGGTGACAATTTAATCGTGCAGCGCTGTCTTTTATTGTACAATGCAAAACAATAGCGTTTTTGGTTTAAAAATGATTAGTTGATATTACTTTAAAAAAAAATCAGCGAAAAAACTTGTCAATAGTGAAGAAATTGTTGTCTGTGCCATCATATCTGTCTAATACATGACATGGACTTCGAACTAGGCAAACTAATTTTAGCACTGTCGTCAATATTTAAGTAACCGTGCTTAATATTACAATTTGTAATTCACGATAGTCATGCTTCTTGATTACTTTATACTTTATAATTATGTCAAAACTAATTCAGTCTGCATTCTATCGATACGTATCTCATAGCGTTGTTGATTAAACAATACATCGTATTTGCTTGAAATATTCAATAACGGCGTGCATTTCCGGTTCTAAAATGTAAACACGTGAAAATGTCTATCATGTAAATCAGCGGATTTTGTGTGAATTACTGAACGCTTAAAAAGGAATTTATGTATGTTAAATATATAAAGGAATAGCTTCAAAATGGTATGAACATTTATGAAATCTATAAAGTATTTATGTTGATATTTACACAGAACTTTTTGGTATACATTTAATAAATAGGTGTAAAGCGCATGATTCACGTGATAATACTGAACACATCGCACATAGACAGTATTGCCAAAAAATTGTCACGCTTGGCTAGGTATAACAGTTATGACTATTATAGAATAGATATAACGGGAACTAACGGTTATCACGTACTCTGCTTGATCGCTTGTGACTTTTGATCATATACATTATGAATGTTAAAAGCGGAACACCAAAACGAAAAAAAGAATCCACCACTAGCTGTAGCGACTTAGACTCTAGTGCTATAACAAACTCATTTAGCTCCTTAAATGAAACAACAGACGAAACAGACCCAGTAAATAAAAGTTTAGGAAATGACATTCGAATAAAAAACAACCAAAATAACTCAAAGTCTCATCAAAGAAAACAACAAAGTAAAAC